CAGTCTGTTGAAATTAAAGGTACGCTCATAGACCGGTTTAGGACAGTGTGCCTTTTATGCATCTCAGATGATGGGATGGTTCCTTTATTCAGTCAAATTCCAATAAACAGATCAGTTTAGTAATCCAGTTTTTATCATCTGAGCCTTACTGTATGTAAAAAAGAAAAAAATAAGGATAATTTTTCCTAATTTTACCAATGAGAGTGTTATTGGTGCTTTTATTAATTCTGGAACAGGCCACTACAACTCCCTAGCATAAGGGTCACCAAGGGTCACCACCCGTTACCAGTCACTTCAAGTCCTCAGCTGTGTTGTTTGTGTGTTTCTCTCCACCACCAGGTGGTGCCCTCTCCACCGCACACCTGCGGTTCGTTGGTTCATTACTGGAGGAGTATTTGAGCAGAGGGCTGTCACTACCTCAACGCCAGAGTGTTTGCCAGTTTTGGGTACTCTAGCAAAGCTGAGATTAGCAGAGTCTAACCTGAGCCTTGTGTCTCTGAGTCTAATGTTGTTTTTGTCTTTGCTCTTCGGCAGGAAGTCTTCCTGTGTAACTGGATACCTGGACCTTCTCCCCCTGGAAGGATTAACTGAATTCACACTGAGCAGGGAGAAACCTCTACATGATCCGTTCAAGTTTCATGATCTGTTCAAGTTTCCATCGGAAATCCAAGTGACAGTCCGCTCCATTACTCCTCCCAGTCCAACGTATATCTACCTGTTCGCCACAAAGACTGGATTCAATGATTGACAAGAGCCCCCTCAAACGTGAGTCCCATTCCAGCATTATTCAAGCCGCAATCTTATTTCCCACGGTCCCTAAACTGTTCTCTGTGATCTCCCCTTCAGACTTTCAAGCTCCAGTTCACCAGTTCTCTGATTCCCAGATCCAACCTCCGTTCACATTGCTACAAATAAACCTGTTAAACTTTTCTCCGTGTTCTGAGTGGTTTCTCTTCATGTGGGTCAGATTCCTTAAACCGATCATGACACAGATTTAGATTTAATTTTTTAAGCACCCAAATGGTCTGGCATCTATTTACCTTAATGAGCTTTCACATTCACACATCCCCTTTAGAACATGAACAAAGCTCCTAATTATTCCCACGGTTTGGCTTGTGACCCGGATGAGATGGAGTTTTTTTTCAGCCACTGCTTCTAAACCATATTCTGTGAGGCCTGCCAAAGATTTGAATTATTTATTTGCAACATTTATCCTTTTAAAATAGCTTTTTATTTAATAAAGCATCACCATAAGACTGGTATTTGTTTTTCTATACTTTTTATTGCTTGTTTTATAGCTTTTATGTTACTTTTATATTTAATTTAATTCTTTTTTATGAATTTAATGTAATTTTGATCCTATTTTATTTACTTTTTAGTTTTTAAGCCCTTCTTTAATAAACAGAATAAAAATAATAAAACAATAAAATAGTTTGCCACTTGAACTGAATGTTTTTATTAGAAGCTAATAGTTATAATTCCCATTATCCTTTTTTGTTGGTTTTTGTATCACTTAATCAGGAAAATTAGCAAACATGACCACATTACCATAACAAGTCCTGTTGAAACATTCTCCTTGCAGCCGTGGCAGTGCTCTCCAAAGCGAGACCAGTAGTGCTTCTTACAGTAGAGATCTCCCTCTTTTTCATAGTACCAGCGGGACAGGATGCAGTCACAATCACGACACCTTTATCAATTAGGAAAACAAAAAGAAAAGAGAACCTTTAGGAATGGTGTATTAGAAAATGTTTTTTTATTATGAGATTGATGAGGAGATTAACATTTAGATAATCAGTCTACATGGCCTGGAAACAGATCCACAAAAACTAGAGTGTATTTTCCATTAAATCATACTAGATTATTTTATTTTACTATTTTAATCTCTCAGGTTTGGCTTTATTGTGCCATTTCCGGACAAAAAGTGGAATCAGAAACATTTGGAACAAACCAAAAAAGAAAACATGTTGAAAGGCTTTGCTTTAAAACTGAAACTCATCCTGGAATCCAGGCTTCAACAGAATGACAGAAAAAAGCTGCTTCCTTATCTCGTCAACGTTACAACCAGGGTGGGAGGCGACTTCCTGTACCGAGCAGTAATCCATGTTTCCGTTCTCCCAACTTTAACAGTAAATGGCATCTGTTTTCACAATAGGGAGCTGGGGGCGGGGGGGTATCAGGTCTCCCCCCCCACCCCCATTGTGTACAATGTACATAATGAAGTAAATGCCCATTTACAGATTTCTGTTGTTTTGCTTTCTTCTGACCTTTATGTCTGCTGTCATAATAGAAAATTGAATGTCAGGCAGTAGTTTTCTGAGGATGTTATCTATTACCATGGAGAACCAGCTACCTAAAGTTCCAAATAAGTAAAAAAAAAACAACTAAAAAGCTACTTAAAGCAACATGGATCATTGTGACAATATGGATTAGCTGCAACTGACTACATTTATTATGGCTCAGTTTCCCTTGTTACTGTCAGGGATGTAGAATCAAACTAAACCTATCTACCAGCATCATACAGGCTAATATATATGACAAAAATGTCGTCATGCCCAGATATTAAAATATGACAGCAGATCAGAAACAAAGCGAAACTTTTGAGACTTTCTTTTGCACAAGTGTAGAAAACCTACAATATGCCTTTTCCAGAAGGGGAGCCAACATGTCAACAATTCATCCAGGACACAATACAACCTTAAACAATGTTTAAAACATTGCTGATCTCACTTGCCTCAATGAAAAATAGTGTCATAATTCAATGAAGAACACACTGGGTCAAAATGATAGTCGTTATAGAAAAAAATCGGATTTTGGAAAAAGTGTAACTAAACAGGGTGATGGTTTGCTTTGTTGCTCTACGACCCGACTGATTAATCACGATTAATGGAACCATGTGTTGTTTTCAGGACCGCAAAGATTCTGACAATTATCTAAAAAAACAACAGTAAAGCCTCAAGCAGAACAAAATGAAGGTTTTGGAGTGTTTTAGGTGAAGCCGAAACTTAAGGTCAATTGAGATAAAGTTGCACAAACTGAACAAGAGACGTCCAAGTTTTGTCTTTGAGCGCTACTTTCCTGCAACTTTTAGATGCATCTATGTTGTGGTGAGGTAATTTAGCCATTTGATTGTAATGTATCTGAAGATCTGCAGGAGCATAGAGCTCAAGTGGTGGACCTGGGCATCCCTGATCTAGCCACTTAATTTAAACTTATTTAAACTTAAGTTTTCAGAATGGTTGAACAAAACAGTCTGCACTAAATGTCCAAAATTATTCCACAAAAATTAAAAAACCCATTGCCAATTAGCGGAAAATCTGGCTGGCATCAGCTGGGATATTCGGTTTTAACAAAGTCAGGATTTCTTATAGATAAGCATATTCAATGAAAAAATAAGATGAATATTGCTTTTTATATTTACTCGATATGTTTTTATGTCATGATAACATTAATCAGATAATTCCAAAGCAGTTCATAAGACAAAAGAAAAGAAAGAGAAGAAATCTATGAGGACTCTAATAACTTCACGCTGAAACTTCTGGTAATCATTAAAACTCCTGAGTCACTGTTGTGGATTGTGTTGCAACTACACTGTTCTACATTTCACTTTACTCCTGAAAATATATTGTTGAAACTGTTGATACTTTGAGAAATATTTAGCTAAAAGTTCAAGTATCTAAATGAATAAAATGAAGCAGCTGTTTATCAGATCTGCCTCTCAGTCGTCACTAAGGAAATAATGAGGTAATAAAAGCTTGACAAAGCTGCATATTTGCCGTTATTGTTAAGTTTGTAAGAGATTGGAAACCTTCCAGCTGCACATCTGCACCTCTTGAACATCTGGCTGGGGGAGAAACCCTGCAGTCACCCCTGAGAGATCTTTAAAGACTTCATCCTCTTCATCTTTTGCCTTTACTTCTAAAGTTTCACATTTACCACCGAGCGTCTTGCAAGCTTAGATTTAACTCCCATCTTGAGCCTTTGTCTTTTCTCCCAATCACTGTGTCAATATGGGAAATCTAGACTTTAAATCCATTCTGTAATTTTGAGAATATTAACAGTGGTCAGATGTTAAGAGTTTAGGCGACATACTCTCCTGCTTAGCTTCCTCTTTGTTTTTGTCTGTGGAGACCCACTTCACTTCCTTAAACATTTTTTATATGTGTATATATATATGTATAATAAATACATCGTAATGTTTTCTGGTGGTGGTGGATGGGGGGATTTCAACATAAGGCATAGTGAATGCTCAATAAATTGAAACCTGCCTATTTGTGGATTGCTTATCTGACTTTTCTCAAGAAGAATGCTTGGAGGATGTAAAACATAATCAGAATCAGCTGCCGGATCGCACAGAAAGAAGCATAAACTCCCAAAGCATCCTTTTTTTTAATTGTTATAGCCAACTACTCACATGTAAGGTTGATGTGAAAGCACATGCAGTATTTAAGCATGCTTTACTTGTGCATCTGTTGGCCGTCACAGTTCAGTAAGAGGAAGTATACATGCAGAAGTTAAACAGCACATCAACTTTTCCTCTCATTCTTTTTTCTCTTCTTTTTTATTTGCATTTTAATGTCTCATAAATAAATAAAATATGAAGTGCTTACCGTCCTTTAATTCCTCTCCGAAACCTTTGGTCTCGCCGAGACATTCTGCTCTCACAATTGACTGAAACCCAGCAGTCATACACAATCCACCCAGTTGAGCAAGGTCTTTTTTCAAAGCCAATGTTTGTGAGCGAATCAGACACTCACTCTGCTGTGACAGTAGCAGGCGTCGCCCTTTATCTTTCTGCTGCCTTTCTCCATGTGTTTAAAGGCTTCCTGTGCATATGTTCCTTTCTGTGTGAGTTGTTTGTTGTTAGTGTGAGAAAAAAGCCTGACCCTCTGACATCAGCTGGCTGCTGGAAAAAAAGGCCTTTCCTAGTTATAGAAGCTTCTCTCCGCCCTCCCTTTCCTGTTCCTTCCAGTATGTAGACCTCAGCAGGGTACGGTTACACTTATCTGCAGGCACATCCAAAAGCAGTAAAGCTAAATTCAGTCTAAAATCTGATCCCTAGATGACTGTTAATGCATTGAAGTATGTTTTTTTTTTTTTTCACACGTGTTGTGTGAGAGCTTATGAGTCTTAGTTTTGAAATCAGGCTTGTTCCCATTAGCAAAGGCATAATCTCTTTATGAATGCTCCAATTACTGCACTGTCAAGATCCCAGAGTAAAGCACCCTATTCAACACACAACAAACAAAGAGAGGGAATTAGACAAAGAACAAGAACACAGAGCAGCTCAGGGAAAAAAGAACTGTCCATTGATTATGTTTGGTCTAAAATTGATGTAAGTATTGTTAAATGTGACGAAAGAATCTAATAATAAGGGAACAATGATTTATACTGGAAGGCGTGCAAGCTCTCCAATATGTTTTTTAAGTCTTAGGCTACAAAGTTATGGATTTAAATTTGAGCAGAGCCTAAAATGATAATCATTTGAAGACATATTTAATTTAAGATTTAAACATTTAAGATTTAACATATTGATACTTTTCAGTGTAGTCCTGTTTCTTTGACTGTGACTGGCTGTATGTGCTGTCTTCATCCTCTGACATGGGAGCTGGCTCAGAGCTCGTCTGCTTGGCTGTCTTTCCTGGAACAGGGCCGACTGGAGCTGGTTTACAGTTGCCTCTTGTTTCTCTGCTTCTTCCTGTATCTCTGCTTCTGTCTCCTTGAACCCCAGTCAGCCTCGGCAGATGGCCGCTCACACTGAGCCTGGTTCTGCTGGAGGTTTCTTCCTGTTAAAAGGGAGCTTTTCCTCTTCACTGTCACTACAAGCATGCTTAGTGTGAGGGATTGCCCTCAAATCGATGCAATCAACTGGTTTTCTTTAGATAGAAAACTTTGAATCAATTTGACTGGGTGACCTGATGAACTGTAAAGTGCCTTTAGATGACGTGTTGTAAATTGTCGCTATAGAAATAAACTGAACTGAATTGAAACTTGCAGAAAAGGAGAGACAGCTTTAATGACCTGGTCATTAACATCTCAAGGGCCAAAGTTCTTAAACTCTCTAGCACTATGGATATTTGTTTTACCTTAGTAATACTCAGAGAAAACATTACAACAAAAATGTGTGAAGGTTTCAATTCAGGCTGGGTTCCACTTTTGCCTGTTTTGAGCTAATCTAGTCAAAATGTCAATGTCAAATTTATTTATATAGCACAGGTATAAAACTGCACCAAAGTGCTTTACAGGAAAGACAACAACATCAATTAACGAAACAGAATGTGAAACACTGCTTCAATTAAAAGCAGAAGAATAAAAATAATTTTTAAGAAGCGATTTAAAATGATCCAGGCTGTGGGCGGATTAAATTTGAAGAGGTAAATGGTTCCACAGAATTTGAGCAACAACAGAGAAGGCGCAATCTCCTTTCCTCTTAAGTCGAGTCCGAGGAACTGTCAGTAATAGTTGTTTATTAGAGCGTAGACTTCTTGACACAGACTGGAACTTTAAAAGGTCTCTAAGATAAGGAGGAGCTAATCCATTTAAGACTTTATAAGTTAATAAGAGAATCCTAAAACCTATTCGGTAAAAGACAGGCAGCCAATGTAAAGAGGCCAGTATAGGCCTTATATGGTCATGCTACCTGATTCCAGTAAGAAGCCGAGCCGCTGCGTTCTGGATCAATTGAAGACGCTGCATCTGTGATTTATCCATGCCTCTATATAATGAATTGCAGTAATCAAAGATGGATCCTTAAAAGAAACTAAATATTTTCCTTTGCAGTTTGGAGCATCAATGAGATCTGCTAGTTCCAAGTCAAGGCTGAGCTTTGAATAAGTGAATTAATTTACTTTTCCTCTGAGTATTACATACTAGAGAACAGGACAGGGAGTGTAAGTTAGTTAAATAATTTTGTTAATTTGACTTCCCTGTTGTTTATCTAACTTCAAATTCTGAACTTTAATCTTTGGTAAATATAGACTAAAATCAACTCCAAGCAATGGAGTTGGAGGTTATACTAACCCTACGGACCCATCGGTGGGTCCAGCTGCTACGTGACCTCGTAATTTTAACAAACCCCCAGTATTGATGTAAAAAACACATTTGGCACAGTTTGGTGACATTTATGGATAAATGGGCCAAAATGGCCCCTCCGCCTAAGAAATTTCTCACTAATACCATTCTAAAATAAATATGATTCATCTGATTGAGTCCAAATTTGGTATATTTTTACACAACATTTAGATTTAAAAGTCTGTACTACTTTTTTGTGCTATAAATAATATTTTGGTAGTGTTTTGCAATGTTTATTTCAAAGAAAATTTTGGCGAGGTTAAAAAAATGCAAAATATTTAGTATTTTGTCCCTAATATTTCAGGCAGGGTCAAAGCTACAATGGTGCTGACACCAGAAAACCATTCTATGACATCTTACCTTTACAGAGGTACCAAAAGTTTCTTCTTAAATCTAATAGCTGTGAGGCTATAAGTGATTTACTTTTGTGTGTTTTTGTCAGGCAGAAATTTATTTATACCCCCTGAGGGTGTAAGAGGCTAATAATACCATAAAGATCAAAATAAGGATCAATATTATTTTAAGTGCACTTTATATATAAGTATCTTAAAGTTCCACAAACAAAAGTGAATGAATTTTAAAAGCTAGAAATTAAGGTAATGACTGACTTTAACAGCCAGCTACAACAACTGTAGAAATTTTTGCATCCAAAGATGCACCTGCATTTTAAGCATGCGCATGCAATCAGTTTCACGCTTGATAAATTGTTTGTGAGTAGTAAGGAGTTATATTTGCATATACTGCTCCAATAATTATGGGATTTAGTTAAAAGCACACAGACAAAGCCTTTCTACTGATTTTACACATTCATTGTCTATTACAACCTGGTCTGTTGTTCAGTTTTGCATGTACTATAAAGTTACAATTTTATTTATGCTTGCAAAATATATTTTTTCTAAATTAGGCTCATATAGAAGATGGGAACAAACCATTAAAAGACCTGCATCGAGAATGTTTTAAACTTCTCATGCTATCTTGCAGAAAGATTTTTCTTTTCTGCCTGGGATAACCTCGCTTCTATTTGCAACGCACTCTTAAATAACATGTTCATCCATTTCAGTTCATCCACTTCATGTAATGAGTTCACTTGAAAAAAAATAAATAAAAAACACCTAACTTTTCTGGTGCACATATAGATCAACAAAAAGCTGCTTCTGTATTCTTTTTTAGGCCCTTGGTTGAAAAAAATAAAATAAAAATAACTCCACCGCTGATAAAAAAAATATGAACTGAAACATTACTTTCTTAATATATAACTTTCTCTTCTTCACCTTAGCTGTTTTGTCATTTCACAGATGAATGTCTTCCGAAATAAATTCCTATGGCTGGAATGAAAACATACGGAAGTGGAGTAGGGCCACTGAAAAAAACAAAAAAAGGTAACTGATTTTAAAATATTAATTCAGGATAAAATGTTTAAAAAAGTTGTAATTCAGATTTTTTTCTCAGAATTTTGACTTTTTTCCCATATTAAACTGAAATCAAATTTAAAAATCAGTTAACTTTTTTTTTTTTTTTTAATCTAATCCTCTTCTGTAACAACAAAATAAAAAACACGGTATTTAATCAAGTTTTATTGTTCTTCTCTTTAGTTTAGAAAAACAAATGCATTACATTTCCCCAGAAGCAATGCAAACAAAAACAAATGATATGGGTTAGAAAGACAATTGCAAGCTTATTTACATTACCATGATTCTTGTCACATCAAAGGGCAATGTAGAAAAAACAAATAACTTTTCTTATTAAGCTATCCGGCATGTTTGAAGCCCTTCAAAACACCCATTAATAATATTTTAAAAATGAAACACATAAAACAGAAGACTAAATAAGTGTTTTGCTATAATTTAAAAGCTCTAGCAAAGATGAGCATTTCCTTTTTTTCAACAGTGATTGTAAAGCTACAAAACATTATTAAAAAAGCAATCAAAACATTTTACATTATATTTCATATTGGTTAGAAGATAGCAATTTCAACCTGGAAAAAACTCAACACTGTACTCACAAAACAACATCCTTACAGCACAGATAAAAATACATTAACTAGAATTTTACAGTAAAAATTCTTTGTTATTTGGCTTTAAGCTGCAGATCCTGAGGTCTGAGTACAGTGACATGAACAAAAGCTCTTCAAGGATTATAAGATTAGGCTAAACAAACAACCATTAAAGCTGTCGTCCAACCTTAAGAAAAATATATAAAATAATAGCTGTCTGACTTTCAATGAAAAAGCTAAAAAAAAAATGTGACTGCATGTAAAAATGTGAAACCACAGATAAATTCAGGGTAAATGTATTTAGGCAATTTTATTGAAAAGCATCTTTTATCAGTGAGTCAGCATGCAGACAGGTCTGAAGGAGCTACCCTGAGGGACTCCTTGGCATCAGTCTCAGCCCAGAAGATTCGTTATGATTCTCGCCAAAGTATTGCAGGTAATATTCAACACAGCATCCAGGAAAACATTGTAAAAAAGCAACAGCTCAGCCCTCTTTGGGATTTTCAACTTGTTTGTTTTAATCCACTGAGAGGTTTTTAGGAAAGTGTTTTATAAAATACTCAGGATAACAATTACTGTTTTCATTGCACTGGTTTAAATGTTTAGACACTTGACATTCCTCTGTTCTCCCGCTGCTGTTCTATTTTTGTAGAATTATAATTATCCAATCAAACTAAAATTATTTCATTGCTAAATAATAATAAAAAAAAACTAATCTAGTGCATTTTTTAAAATTTACAAAAGCAGTCTTTCCTTTTCTTTTATATTGTGGTCCCATGAGATCGGGAACTACTTCTAAAAATGAAATGCAATGAAAAACATAGTTTTAGGAATGTATTAAGGCCTTAGGTTTTAAGTTAGGAAGACATTCACAAGCTGTAATCTTGCTATAGCACCACTGTTGTTTCAATGAGGTCACTTCCTTTCTTTCGGTGTTTCACTTCCTCCTTCGACCACAGTAGTCACCCTGACAGCCTCCACCTAGTTTCAGGAACAAAGACAGTTACTCTCTAGCTGACATTCAAACACAGCACCTATATAGTAAGAGGGAATAAACACAGTCATCCTGGGCATTTTAGTGTTTATCATTATAGAAGCTACATATTACGTTTGCTTATTTTCATAGGAAACAACTTTTAAAATATTTTTTTTTTAGTTTTTTTTTTTTTTTTAGCTGATTAATACATTTTAAAATATCTACCTACATTGCTGGGACTTTTAATTCAACTGTATTTAATTGGGTTTAACAGTTTGATTTTCACTTTCTGGCGACTTCATTAGTTTCATCTGTTCTATTAATTATAACAGAAGAGAAATCAACTGCTAACAATGTAGATATTAAATGCATTTAGAACTCACTCATGATTTGGTAAAGGTGACCTGTTAAAGGTGGAGGCGAGTCTCGTAATAGATTAGTAGTGGGGTGGTTGATATCGGACGAGTTTTTAGTTTTTGGAAACTATGGATTTGCTTTGATTTTTACACACAACCAATTATAAAAGATATTCAGCAATCTGTAGTTGTGTAGCTGAAAACGTCTCGTTTATGTCAGATTTCAGAGGAGACCCCTAAAGAGAGTTAGTTTCAGCAGGGGCATGTACTATAACTCTTAAATTGAACTCCAGATGTTCACTTCTCTGATAGTGAAGGAGCGGCCATGTTTCAATTGTTGTATGGGCCTAAATCTCTAAGCCAGGGGTCTTCAACATTTTCCAGGCCAAGGACCCCCAAACTGATGGCGAGATGGAGCTGGGACCCCCTAATTATATATAGTATGAAATTGTGTTATATCAAACTGGTCCTATAGTCACTCTATTACAGATGCAGTAATGTAACAAAAGTAATTTCGCCCTGGGATTAATAAAGCATTTCTGATCTCAATCTGGTGCCCAGCTTGAAAGAGCTGCTGTGTGTCACTGAATGTGTGCATTTATCTGTTTACTACAGTGTGTGCAGTTCATATTTAACTGTGTGTTGAATTCATGTTAATGTGTATTTAAAGACATTTCAACTAGTGGAAAAAATTGCAGGGGGGAATATAAAAAAAAAAAATCAACCAAAACTTTTGCAACCCCCATGCAGTACCTCTGTAGAGCCCCTAGGGGTTGCGGACCCCCTGTGGAAGACATCCGCTCTAAGGGACGTTTCCATAACCTTGCGGAAGCCGTTATGCAAAAAGAGGGCATTTCTAAAGGGGCTAAGAGGAGGTCCAACCAGTTCTAAAAAGGTGTATCCAACAGAGTGGCCAGAAAGTGAATGAAGCAATGTTATTAAAAGGTTAAATAATTTGTCTGATTGTGGTTACCTCTGTAGCCTCCAGCTCCAAGGAAGGCCTGCATGGCAGCATATTTGGCTGCTTTCTGTGCTTTGGCTAAAAAATGAAAAAATGTAAACAATAATTTAGTTTATTTCCACACACCATACCATAAAGAATGCATAACCCCCCCTAAAACATATAGATAGACACACAGAATGTTTAGTTTTTTCAAATGAGCTCTGATGGTTTTGTTTTCCAGTCACTGTTTATGTTACGTTTTAAAAATTAATTGTCTATAATTGTTTGAATTAAAGATTGTATTATATGTTATACAGATGTGTTTCTGTTAATGGTGATTTGCACTTTATAGTAGTGAAGCCAAAAATTGAGTTTTTCTTACATTTTTGTCCAGTCCCTGCATATCCTAGGGAACAAGAGTGGGAAAATTGAGTCAATAATAGGCACTGCTAACATAAGTTTCATAGAGGCAGTGTTTTATGAGTGACATCGTGGTTAACATTACACAAACAGCAGCTTTAACATTGAAACAATCGGCATATTTCTTCTTACTAATGCATGTAACATGGTTAAGGTTATTTTACCTGGGTAGCCACCTCCTGCCCCAGCACCATATCCAGGCCCAGTGCCCCCTCCTGGTATAACACATACATTGAAAATGAAGACACATTTTTCCTTAACTTGGACAGTATTTTTCTCATTCACCATGATCGGACTCCAAATGTGTTATTAATGCCTATTATTACAATATGAATAAAAACTAATTGATGATTTCTTTTTTTTTTTTTTTTTTGTCTTCTGTGAAGCAAACCTGGTAAACCAACTGCTCCTCCGACGGTTTGACCGGTTCCCCCAGGACCTCCTGTCCCTCCAGCTCCACCACCTGTAAAAGCAAGTTAAAAAATTATCAAAAGAATGGCTTTGACGTCCGTATATAAAACAGTGTTTATAGGTTTTTATGTTACTGCAACTACAATCTGAAGAACATTATATATAGGGTCTTATTGGGAGTTGTGTCCAACCTTGTACACCTTGAATTCCTCCTGTTCCTGTTCCAGGACGGCTTCCAACTCCTGCAAAAAAAGTAAACAGTTAATCTTGTTTAGATAACTGAAAGGCAACTTAATCTACATTAGAAATAATCTTTTCCCAGTTGACAGATCAACACAATAACAAACGCATTTCTAACTTTGCCTACAAAATAATGAACTTCCTTTACCCCAGATGTTGCCTTTGTGTTCTCTAAAAAAAAAAAATGTCTGAAGGACCAGCACACTGTTAGATTATTCTGCACTTGTAAAGGGCCTTAATACTGTGCATCTAGACTCCAAACCAAAGCACTAAATTTTCTGGAGCAATTTCAGTGATTAAATGTCAACATTTACAAGGTTGATTTGACTTAATATTTTAAGGGGCATAGCTCATGGTATATGAATTTTCAAAAGTTTCACTAACAGCTGACTCTGCATGCAAAGATTTTTCTGAAACATTATTAGGCTGTGCTAGCGTTTAATTTGTTATTATTTAATATTACATAGAAAATAAGACAGACAAATAGATGGACAGACCTAGACATTTTTGTCACAGTTGTCACACTGCTCCAATGTACTCGAAATCTGATTTAATTTACGGTTCATCAACAATTCATTTACATTAGAAATAGCATTTTAATGCATTGAATTTGCAATAATTTCAATGAAAAGGTTTTAGCCTTTGTGTCTTTTTTTATTTAATGAACCTATATGCTTTATACCTGTTTTTGTCCCTGAGTGTGGCATGAACTGTCATTTTCCTTTTCTTTAAAGTCGTAGGGCATTGCCCAGTTGGTGCTCAACTTTATACGAGTGAATAAGTGAATGTGATTGGGTTATGAAGAGGGCGGGGTTGTTGTGGTGGAAGGTTCACAAGCAAGTTTGATTGAGGCCAGTTTTTTCCAAGCATCTTGCTAACCAGTTAGCAATTTAGTGCTAGTATTGCCAATGGGAAATTACATTGGGACCAAGCAGCAGTAAAATGGTGACTTATCCATTTTTATTTAGAAGAAGAAAGTGGGGACAAAGATGTTGTGGAAGAAGGTGCCAGGGCGGCAGAAGCTTGGTTTGGTGTAGAAGGCTTACAGCCGTACATGTTTGAGCCCTTGCCTCGCAACGCTGCCAGTTCTGTTAGCTCTACGCCTGCTGAAGACACAGACGTCCATCCCCGTGAACACTGGGAAGGAACTCAATGGGAAAGTAAATTATTCTTATTTCTTATTTCAACCGTTGCGTATATTAGCTGCGACATATGGATCAAGATGCTATTACCAAAAAAATTTGATTGACAGATGACCGTTGATATATGATTGGCCGAATTTAGGTGTACAGGCTGACGTATAACGAACTGGCCTGCATAAGATAACAAAAAAAAAAATAAAAAAACATAGATTTTTAGACAGGATTCTTTTTATATAGAAAATTTTCAAATTTTGGGACAATATAGTCTGATAAAGAGAACATTTATTTACATGTTTAAGCCAGAATGATTTGACATTTAAATATGACTTCGATACGACTTTAATACTCTTATGTGACGCTCTGGGGACGATTCACTAGAACTTAGCATTGCTGTAGATCTTTTTTATTTTTATGAATATTGCTTAGTTTTCTACAAAACTGCGTTGTCTTTTACCACAAGACATTTCAGGACATTCAGAGTTGGTTGGCTCTATTATATTACTGTGTTAAATGTCAGCTTCTTTCGGATAGTTCCCACAAAAGGCCCACTAGTCTGTTTACACCAGTTTGTTGCATCCGGTACTGAAATTCTATTTAGGCTCAAAAAGTTCCATCTAAACACGAGCGGGACAGGAGGCTGGTGTATTTAACCTTATTTTATCCCGATTAGTTTGTTTTTGGTCTTTTTGTATACTGTAGACATATAACATGAATATGCACCTTTATAGCACATGTTAAAGAGTATATTTAAACAATGTTTAGACTTGACTTTCTGTACTCTCTGTTAGAGATTTGTACTATGACCTTCTTATATAGTACTATAATTAATGAATAGAATACTGCATGTATTAGGTAAAGATCAACATCATATGAAAAAAATATCTAAACCTTTTTAATTTGCTGTTGTTCTTTTTTAATGAAAGACATTATAGACTTTTACCCTGTCCATATCCAGTTCCACCCAAATAGGAACCATACGCAGATTTAGGTGGCTTTCTTGATCCGAGTGATTGCCCACCAGGTTGGAAACCTCCTGTCACGCTTCCAGCCCCTCCAGGCCCAAAACCACCAGCACCAGTTCCTCCAGGACCAAAACCACCAGTTCCGGTGCCTCCTGCAACAAAGCTTCCAGTTCCAGTTCCTCCTGGACCAAAGCCAGTAGATCCAGCACCTCCAGTGGCTACAGAAGGGCCTGTCCCAGTTCCGCCAGGGCCAAATCCTCCAGGACCAGCTCCTCCTGTACCTCCTGTGATGACAAAGACTGCTTTAGAGATATAAATATAGATATGAGCAACTTATTATGGATTAAAATAAATTAGATTACCTGCTCCATAACCAGCTCCTCCGTAACCTAGACGTGTAAAGATGAAAGGTATTTTGTCAATTTTTGACAGTATTCTATGACCAATTATGTTGTTATGCAGCTCATTGTCAGCTGCATTAGAATACCTGGCCATGTTCCCTACATACCTGATTTAGAAGGTTTCCTTTTTCCAAATCCTTGTCCACCTGGTCCAAACCCAGTTGCAGTCCCAACACCACCTGGTCCGAAACTTCCAGGTCCTGTTCCACCTCCACCTGGTCTGAAACCTCCGGGTCCTGTTCCAGCTCCACCTGGTCCGAAACCTCCAGTTCCAGTTCCAGTGCCACCTGGTCTGTAACCTCCAGGTCCTGTTCCTGCTCCACCTGGTATGAATCCTCCAGTTCCTGTGCCCGCGCCTCCTGGTCCAAAGCCTCCAGTTCCTGTGCCCGCGCCTCCTGGTCCAAAGCCTCCAGTTCCTGTGCC